TGCTACTGCTAGTACTACTGCTGCTGCTGCTGCAGCTGCCCCTACCACCCCCGCCGCCGCCACCGCCACCGCCACCGCCGCCGCCACCACCACCGCCACCACCACCACCACCACCACCGCCACCGCCGCCGCCGTGACTGTGACTGTGACTGCGACTGCCGCTGACTGCCACGCTGCCGCTGCCACTGCCACTGCCACTAATACTCCTCCTTCAACTACCTTGTGATTCGCCTACCATGGATGACTGTGTCACCAATCAGCGACAACGACGATGACCGCGATTGAGGTCACACCGAGGAAAGACACGGACGACAATTGCTATCAAGATGACGTCTACCTTTGTGTGCCTGTGCTGTCGCGAGCACATGTCTTCCCTATCCCCAACGCTGACGACAGCGTCGAGAAAGAAGGGATCTGACTGGCAAATCCTGCAGGGCGTGGCGTGCGAGTCCTACACCTGCGAAACAGGCCGTTCAGCACGAGCATGAAGCGACCTTGGCGGAGCATACTCAGAGGAGCTGGATGATCATCATCATGCTTTGAGGTAGGTAGTCAGCCGAGGGTCGATGGTGCAGAGATTTGTAGAGCACGGTCTAAAGGGCTTGACAGGCAGCGACGAAGCAACCTTTGAAACCTGGTCTGGCAAGAAGAAGCTGCTTGGAGAGGGGACTAATGATTTGCTGCCACATCCGACACTTCAAAGTATGCAGCCGGAAGTCTTCGTTACAGCAGTGGGCAGACCAGTGTCGAACTCCAAGGTTTTGTCAGTTGGAAACAGTGTTGTGATATGAGGTTCTGGTGTTGCGAAAACCACAAAGTCGCTTGCGACCCGTACGACTGCAGCGACCTTAGCACCCACGTGTAGAACGATTGGAAAGCCGTGAGCCTGAAGAAAGTCTGCGCATCAATCAGCATTGCCGGAAGCATCGTAGCACATGCCTGGTTTAAACTGAAGCTCCTTTTTGCGAGTCGATGTCCTGGAAAGTCTAGAGCTTGCTGCAACATGTATCTAAGTTGCCCAAGCAGGGAGCGGCAAACTTGAGGTGACTATAACAAGGACAACTTCCACCAGTACTGGAGCGAATCCAAGCGCGCATTCTGCTGCATCAAGGACTTGGGACTGGGCTTTGGCGGGGTCATCGCAGTCCATGTAATGTACTGTCGTTGTTGCAGCTGTTGCAATGGGAATACCCTTCGCCCCTGCCTGTGATGGGAGCTCCTCGATCGGTAGTGCAGGAGCAAAAGGGCTGCGTGAGCGGGAGCCTCACTGTCGGGTAACGACGCAAGCAGTGGATCTGCGGGGGAGTGGAATACGGCTCTTCATGACGCAATCGATGGGCGACTCGCCGCCTGTGTTTCTCAGTGAGCCAAGGCCATACCACGCCAGCGCCACATAACTGCGAAGAGGCGCGGCCCGTGCTGCCTCAGTAGGATACAAAATCTACTCAGCAGACTCGGCAGGACTACGATGACTGGAAGACCAAATGGGACGAGGAGCTATTCTGCACAAGCATCGGGTGTTCCATATAGTTTGAAAAGGCAGCTCGCAACCACAAGCACGTCAGGGTGGGGGTAATGAGGCGAACACGAGAAGCTTTACACGCTTTCTGTGTGAAACGGAGCTCTCTTTGCAACTGCAGGAGAAAAGGCAATGGTGCTGCAAAACTCATGCCTCTTTGCTGTTGTTTGATGGGTTTCGCTTGTAATCTCTAGCTCCACGGCAAACTTGCACCATCGCGTATCCAAAGCTGGGGTCCAGTTGCGAGACACTGCCAAGACAGGTGCAAGAGTGCAGGCGGTCTGATAAGATCTGAACTACGTTGATTCTCTCGCTCTCTCTGATTGTCCGTCTGTCCGTCTGTCTGTCTGTCTGTCTGTCCATCTGTCCATCCATCCATGTATCTATCTATCTGTCTTTATCTATCTCTACCTCTCTGCATCTCTCCCTTCCTCTCCCTCTCCGTCTCTCCCGGTCTCCCTCTCTCCCTCTCTCTCTCTGGCTTTCCCTCTCGCTCCCCTCCCTCCCTCCCTCCCTCCCTCCCTCGCTCGCTCTCGCTCTCGCTCTCTCTCGCTCTCTCTCGCTCTCTCCCTCTCTCTCTCTCTCTCTCTCTCTCTCTCTCTCTCTCTCTCGCTCGCTCTCTCGCTGTCTCTGTCTCTCTCGCGCACACCCACCAAATCAGGGAGAGTTACCAGGAACTTCAGACGTGTGCCCCCATCCTACTTTTGTTCCGAACCTCGTCGCGTTCGGCGTGCACCGCAACATGTCCAGAAAGTGCTTGACTGGACCCTTTTCCAAGCTGAGCCTTGCCCGCAATTCCCAAGAGTCCCAGCATCCTAGTACTGAAGTCGAGTTAACTCACCAGCCAAAGGCTGGAAACGTATTCTCAAATCATCAGCCATTAGCTTCTCTCTCAGCTCCGCGGCTGCCACCACGAAGTGGCTCCCGACCCCTGGACCTGCACGTGGCCCGAAGAGAGCAGCAGCTTGCCTTGGATGTCAGAGTTGAGACCGTTGCGTAGTAGTCCTAGCAGCACATCATCATCGATAAAGGCAGGTACGAGGCAGCTGGTTCTACGGGTGCAGTGAACCTAAGGACCCAAGGGCCTCAACATGAAGGGCTTCAAGTCCATGTATCTTTCAGGAGATGTTTCGACCCATTGCTACTTTCGCATGGGCGTCAAACAGATCGTCTTCAGGAAGTGTTTACGGTGTCAGTATGATTGACTTGACGGAGCCAACATCTGTGCATATCTGTGACGGCTCACTGCGCAGCTTTCCTAGTTGCAATTCGCAAGGCTGGGAGGACTTCTTCAGCCACGGACAGAAGCGGTGGTGCTGTGATCACAAGCACATCGGTTCCTGGTCCTGTGAGGAGATGACATCGGATTAGTTCGCAAATCAGAGAGACTGTTTTCTAAACCAGTCAGATGAACGTCTTCGACCTCGGAAGCTGCACAGAACAGCTTCTGCGAGACACACGTCATCGCACTGGCCAGGTTGCGATCCCTACGACTGCAACTACTTCTACAGCTACTTGGCTTGCATGCGATGGGAAGACACACACGCACACACACTGAAGGGTGTCAGCCTGTCGGCACCAGTCACTGCTGAGGCGACCGGGACGTTCTTTGGTCCAGCCACAAGTCTCTGTGGCCACTCAGCTGAGTATTCACGGCACAGAGAGAGCAAGCGGACTTTCATCGTAAAGTAGACGGCAGTCATGCCAGCCAGGTGTTGCAGTCACAAGGGCAAAGGCTGCAATTCTCATGGCCATGACCAACCATCCGCGGACCGCCTTGAGAGACTTTGGAGCTGATAGCTCTAAAGACGATTTTGGGGAAGAGTTGAAGACTTCGTCCCTTGTTTGCTTGGCTATCTGGGTGCAGATTCTTCGCTTGGTCCTGCACATGACTGGGTATGCTTAAGCTTCCGCTTGAGCCATCTGTCATGCTTCAGCCGTGCCCTCGCCCCAAGCCACAGCCGAGCTCTGGCAGACTCACAGAGCCTTCCAGGACTATGTCTTCCATGGAGACTACGACTGCACCCTCGCAGGTGCATCCACCAAGTGCTGTGCAAAGTAATGATTAGTACTCTGTCAAACGTGCACCTGCTGTTCCTGTCCGCTTCCTGTCCACCAGGTTGGAAGTCAATAGATGTCGCAATTACGCTAATGAAAGACAAGCTTGCATCGGATGGTCCTGGTGATGCCAGGCGGCAGCTGGGAGACGTGGCCGACGTCGTCACCCGTCAGCCTGGAGAGTGCACTGTGCTCCTGAACTGCCTCTTCATGTTACCTTTACCGTCCCCACCGCGAGAGAGCACAGCCGTGCTCGCAATGAATCCGCCCAAGTTGTCAGTCCTGCCGGTGATTGTCCAACTTTGCAGCAGAGTTGGGTTTTGAAGTTCAAACCTCGTTGCTTGAGGCAGCGGTACTACTGCTGTGACCATTACACAGCGGCGTGGATGCACATAGGATTTGTTGTCGCGCCCAACAGCCGTAGGCCCGACGGCCCCTACGAGCATGTCGGGGTTTCAGGTGGGCTGCGACCAGTGGGACTGCGACTACGACGTGGACTCGTTGGAGGCCCTTGGCGAGAATGGGGGTTCCCCCCTGTCGAAGTGAGGTGAGGTCCCACAGGCTCCTAGTCTAGTCTTTCGAAGCCGTCTGCACTGAGTGCGAGCACCTTGGAGTGCACTCGATGCCTGAGGCCTGGGAAACCAGCAAGAAGGCCTACTGCTGCGACAAGGCCGTGAGGGCCGTTTGCGGGGATTGCTGGCAACTTGCTACTTCCTGCGTCCTAGGTTTGTGGTTGATTCTGTTTACAGCCGGCCTAACCATTGTTGGTCTAGCGGAGATGTTGACTGCGTCTGGAGTTGGCATGCGCGCGGGCGAAATACCGTCCTGGGGGTCAGGTTACGTCACTGGGAGCGCGTATCGGCAGGCTCTGCAGGTTTGCCGATGCCCCGCGAACACGCATGTCGTGTCAAGCGCGTGGCGAGTTAGAGGCAGACTGCATGCCAGGAGCTGGATTCGGCAGTCTGCGAGTCGCACAGGGTCGCAGACAATGCATCCCTCGTTTCTTGTAAAGATGGCTCCGCCATGACTGGCCAGCTCGATGACGCTCACAACTTCCTCCAGAGTCGTGTGTCTTAGCGGAGCTTCATCATGAGGCCACTAGGTTAGTCCAGCGCGGACTTGCCGAAAGCTGCTCTACCCGGACACACAGACTGGTTCGATGCCGGCCGTGAGACACAATCATGCCGGCATTCGTACTTTCATGTCGTTGCTTCCTGTTGCTGTTGCTGGCACAGGCTTTTGCCGTGAAACTGTGGGTTTCGGCCCCTTAATTAAACATCAGCAAATACCGCTCACTGTTCCATCACAAAGAAAGTCCGAGATGGTTCAAAAACCGAGACATCGTGGTCTTCTTCTGACTTGTAGTCATGGAACGATCGAAGCTGCGAGGTTGGCGTCGGTTGTGTTGAAGACGACCAGCCGCCAGAACCTCGGCAGCAGATGGCTGCCTGTCGAAGTGCCGCACGGGACCGCCCAAAAGTCCTATGTCCTGTTCCGACGCAGTCTGCAGAACCTGTGAGCGAAGGTCGATGATCTCTTCGATTGTGATGCCGGGCTGGCCAAGTGGGAGAAGGGCTGGTCTGCAGTGAAGAAAGGAGCGGGCTTGCATGCGCACCTGTGCAACCACTCTGCCCGGAGTTTGAGGTCAAAGGGGGGTCGAAGCCGAAGTGCAGAGTTTGAGGTTCAGGGGCTCGTCGCCGAAGCACAGGTACCAAACTACCCAGCATCAAGTTGGAGGAGTGCCAAAGCCATTCAGACGCGGAACGCATTGGTTTCGCACTGACCGCAGAACTGGGCCCTACTGGACTCACAGATGTTCACTCGCAAGAACGTGACTTGTGAAATGCTGCCTCTCTAGCTGACAAACTTGCTAATCGTAACGGGGCCCTTCTCGTTGCAAGATGTCGAGGAGCGTGTCGCTTCTGAAAAGCATCTTTCTGACAAAGAAGTTGTGTGGCAAAGTTAAACCACGGCCTGAGCAGGCTACTGCTGCAAGTACAAGAACGTCGCTTGCGAGCCCTTCGATTGTGCAACTCTGCAAGCAATTTGGTCGTCAGCGTTGCTCGTCACGAGTTTGCTCTTGTCACTTTGAGTTTGTGGCCTGATCTCAGTTCCCCCAGAGTTGTGACTTGCAAAGACATGGTGCAGAGCACACGCGGGGCGGGGGGGTTGTGTGAAGCGTTGGAATCCGAGACCCATGCTTTGGAACAGGGCTTTGAGGTCGACGAGTACCAGACCAAGTGGCCTGAGGCGAAGAAACTCTGGTGCCTGGTCTGGAGCTTCTTTGAAGTTCAGACGAGATAGGGTGAACTCAGCGAAATCAGTGTGGAGAGTTGAAGAGATGGCAGAAGCAGCCATAGCTGGAGGCCATGAGGGGCGCGCGAGCCCCAAAACAGAGCAGGGAAGGCGACCTCACGCAGCGAGTGTTGCCCTTTTCTCAGATTATGTGAGGTGCTGCCAAAAGGAGCAAGTCGGATGCGAACACGAAGCCACCTTCGACTGCGAACCTGGGCATTACTTTCGATAGGCTCGAGTTGTGTAGGAATTTCGATGCGAAGCTGCCGCGTACTTGCGCTCCTTCAGCTCTTGCTGCCTTGAGCCGGACACGTGGACGTGTCAAACCGCTCGCCGAGAAATATCGAACCCTTAACACGCTCAGTGCGACATGAACCCGTCAACCCGAAACCCTCTTGCCCATGCCAAGGATGCAGGATATATCCGCTGGGAAGCGGGCTGGTCTGAGACGAAGAAGATGCAATGGCAGCATTCATAGTGCTGTAGAGGCATAGGTATGGTACAAGTAGGAATTATCGTACGGACTAACAAAAGATATATCAGGACTGAATGCTGATCCCACCACTACCGTTAATTTCTAGCAGTCAACTCTTATCGTAGAGTTGTATTGTTCGCAAAGGTGTGAGCATGGACACTTCAAGTAGGAAATGTCGTTGTGGTAGTAGGCCGCAGCAACTTGCCGAGCATAGCACACCTGTATCTGAAACCAACATCAAGCAGCAGATGCTCATTAGTTTGTTGCAGCAGAGAATTCCGGCTATTTGGGAGATCCTTCAATCATCGCCGAAGCATCAATCACGCCAAGGGCATGGTGCTGCACGCATGAGCAGCGTGCTTGCGACAAGTACAACTGACACTCGGCCCAAAGAAAGCCGTTTGGAGCTAGATGTCGGATTCTGGAAAATCTGCAAGCTTACAATCGGCCAGCCGAAGCAGGCGAGGAACTAGCCGACGGTCTCTCATAAGAAGCTCCACTGGCAGCCCTGCGTAGGTGATAGCCGCTCATGCTTTTTGTTTTAACAAGCCTTTCTTGACATTAACCGGCCAGATACAGAGGCGAGGAGGATTATTCTGACCGCTACTTGAGCTGGAGCAAATCCAAGCAGGAGTATTGTTGCGACAAGTACCAATATGCTTGCAGTCACGACACTGGAGGCAGGGTAGCCAGGGGTCGCAGAAGAATGAATATAATGGTTACGACATATCATCTGCATCTCAGTCAAGCCCTGCCAGGATACTATGACGGTGCACACAGTCACCACACGATCCATCACATCTACTCTGGGACAGGGCATGATGCCTTCGATCATGTTGCACACGCTGGCAGTGGTGAGACCTTCAGTCACTTTGAGACAAGCAGTGGGCAGTTGCCGCCAGGCTTCAAGATGGATGGTGGCAAGCTCCCACCTGGCTACCACGTGAAGGGCGACAAGATCGTCTACGGCCACGGAAGCCATGCTATGTCCTTCCCCAAGACTGACTTTCAGTCAACACATGACCATTTCTTCTTTAGTGATGCCGGCCATGAGAAGCATGGCTGTGCAGGCGGATCCGCCAGCAGCGGCCATGCAAAGCATGGCAGCAGCAGCGGCAGCTTCAGCCATGTTGAGACGAGCAGTGGTCAGTTGCCTCCAGGCTTCAAGATGGAAGGTGGCAAGATGGTTTACAGCAAGAGCGGACATTTCGATTTCAGCGGCGATGGCGGCAAGCTCCCGCCTGGCTACCACCTGAAGGGCGACAACATCGTTTATGGCCAGGGAAGTCACTCCATGTCTTTCCCTGAAGTCGACTTCCAATCGAAGGGCGACCACGTTTTCTTCAGTGATGCCGGCCATGCAAAGCAAGGCAGCAGCAGCGGCAGCAGCTTCAGCCATGTTGAGACGAGCAGTGGTCAGTTGCCTCCAGGCTTCAAGATGGAAGGTGGCAAGATGGTTTACAGCAAGAGCGGACACTTCGATTTCAGCGGCGATGGCGGGAAGCTCCCGCCTGGCTACCACCTGAAGGGCGATAACATCGTTTATGGCCAGGGAAGTCACTCCATGTCTTTCCCTGAAGTCGACTTCCAATCGAAGGGCGACCACGTTTTCTTCAGTGATGCCAGTCATGAGATGCATGACGGCACCGGTGGATTCGTCAGCGGCGGCCATGCAAAGCACGGCAGCAGCAGCAGCGGCAGCTTCAGCCATGTTGAGACAAGCAGTGGGCACTTCGGTGCCGGCCATCAGATGCATGGCAGTGTGGGTGGATCTGTCAGTAGTGGCCATGCCAAGCATGGCTTCAGCTTCGGCCACATTGAGCAGTTGCCCCCAGGCTTCAAGATGGAGGGTGGCCAAATGGTCTTCAGGAAAGTCGATGCCCACAGCAGTGGAGGCAAAGTCCCTCCCGGCTATCGCTTAGAGGGTGACGACATCGTTATCGGCCATGGCAGGAACAGACTGGCATTCCCGGAGGTCGACTTCGAAGCAAAAGGCGATCACTTTGTCTTCGATGCCGACCGTGAGGCGGAGCAGAGTGCGGCCGGTGCAGCCGCAGGATTAGAGTCCGGCCAGCATGGTGGTGCTCAGTTCACTTTGCCTCCAGGCTTCAAGATGCAGGGCGACAAGATGGTCTGGACCAAGGGTGGTGACTATTCATTCGATGGTACAGGCAAGCTCCCTCCCGGCTACCGATGGGAAGGTGACAACATCGCCTATGGACAGGGAAGTCTGGAGGCAGATATTCCCTCGAGCATGATCTCCACAGGTTGAGACAGCCAGGCCACTCGGACGTAGCCTTCTTGGTCCCATTTGTTATCAAGTTATCCACTTGTTGAGTTCAAGTCGTGAAAGAGTTGAGGCACTGTGCTCATTGGGGTGGGTTGCCAGGATGGGTCATTGCGATGTTGCAAGTCGCAAAATGACATAAGGCTCTTTCGGCCATCACGACATCAACCCGGCAGCTGCAGCTGCTTGGCCTCTTCTCAGACCGAAACAGATTGCACAAAACAGGCTTCCGGTTTTGGAACCAACACACTTCACAGCTTGCGCATGCTTGCGCACTGTGCCAAACTCCAGTATTCTGTCATCAGTCTTGAGGCCGGTGCCTTTCTTGCACTGCGGAGCTGATCAGCAGTTCCGCCACATCTGAGTGGTTTACCTCAGACTCCTAGACCCTCTTGCTGGTTTGGGTGAACGTGTCATTGTGCAATGCCTGCAAGTGCGAACTAACTGCGCCCATCAGTTCATCACATTCTGCAGACAACCCGGTCAAAGTTTCTGAAGGCAACCTCAAGGTCCGTAGATGCAGATATTGTTCCGCGTTAGGGGGATGATCGGAGAGGGCTTGAATGAAGGCGTTGCAAGGCCTTTGGATGGAGCTCTGGCAGCTCAGCTCACGGCGGGGTCCTGCCAAAGCGCTCGTCTCGCCCTCGCCAAGTCCATTACCCCAACCCAGCCCTGTTGGGCGGGCAGGGACATCAAACAGTACGGTTGCTACAGTCAAGATCCAGGCAAGCCGTCGGATACTCTTTCTCCTTGGGGTCTTGGTCTGGCTCCGCTTCAAGAGCTGGAAGCAAAACGTGGCCCAAATTGACACGAAACGTCCTTTTTTCGGACCGCCTGACGTGCACCTTGGCACATCTCGGTCCTAGTCGAGTGTGCAAAGCTCAGTCCAAGATTTGAGATGCTTCGCGTGGCAAAGTCCAGGGTTGGAGGTGAGAATGAAAGAAAGCACGACCAAGCCGTTCGCACAGAGGCTACAAACCCCCAACCTGTGCTCGAAAGAGATGATGAAATCATCGGTGATGCTTCAGACACGCATGATTTGAAGGTGCCTGCGGGGAGTGCGTGCCGAAAGCCGTACATCTCCGCAGAAGTGAGGAACAAAAGTCAGAATGCCGGTGTCCGTTTTCAGCATCATGCAAGCACCCTCGATGCAGCTTCCATCGTTCTTATTTGGGGCAGCCTCGGTTATCAGAGAGAAGTCATGACGAAGACTAAGACGCCAGCAAACCTTCCCTTACCGACATAGAGGGACCTGATCAGGATCTTCCGGAAAGCCCCGTTGTCCGGACATTCATTCCTGGGATAAGTTCCCCCTCCGACGAACAGGTCCCGACATCCTTGGCACATACAGCCCCCGGCTCGTTGAAACCACCACTCCACCCCAACTGCAAACTCAACTTTTGCGTCCTCAGCCCTTCTGTCCGGCTTTGGCCCTGTGTGCCACTATGGCTTCGGCGAGCTCACGAGAGGGCCGCGAGGACAGGGCGAATTGTCGCTGCAGTGGGGTGGATCGCTTCGTGTTCCGGATTTTCAAGCTTGACGAGACTTGAGGGGTCTCTGTTAGCATGCCCAGATCACACTTTTGTCAGCACCGTGAATCTGAAGTGGGAAGTTCCATTCACTGGCGCCACACCAGCTTCTCATAGTTTCCTTTGAGCATAAACATGAGCCGCCTTGAGCCTTGTGTTACACAGTGCCATGAAGTCCCTTGCGAGGAGCCACTGCAGCGGGAGGCAAGCCGCCTGGCCGTGCGTACCAACTTGGAACAGGCGGGGACCCGACTGTTGGCGCGGCAGACCCACTTTCACAACAAACAGATTCATCTGCGTCTAGGCTCGAGTGTACTGAGCGGAAGGTGATGAATGTTGCTTTAGCGCGGCATTCGCGGCTGGTGATGTGCATCTTGGATTGGAGACCTCCCGTGGATTCCTTCCCGGGAATGGTTAGGCAGTGTGTGTGCCACATGTCTGACTCAGCACCAACCAGAAGATAGTATCAGTGCAAGATACTTTGCGAGGTGCTGGGCACCATCAGACTTTCCGGCTTCCCCCCAAAGCTGTCAGAAAGCTCCTGGGTGGTTTGCATCGCAGCCGGTCGCGGCAGCATGTTTCCCACCATTAAGGCACGGTGGTGATGCTATTGACAGGGATGCTGCTGATTCTTTTCTGGCACCTTGGCTGCACTGATCTTCCATTGTGTATATCTCGCTTGGGTAGGCTGCACCTGATGCCCTGTATAATCGTGTAATCCCGCGACGCATTTTGAATGTAGTCTACTAGTCGCGCCTTGCAGGTCTCAGATGGTGTTCTCCAGCCATGTGCCTTGGCTGCTCACGCTGGGCGCTTTCAACTGGTCATCTGTGCTGGCAAGCAAACAGCCTCCCTCGATTCCTCTGAACTTTTTGCGTGATGCCCACCTGACATATAGGACCCGAAGGTACTCAGGTACTCTACTTTCAACACATTCGGCAACCGCCACATCTGTTGCTGGCTGCTGATCTTAGGAGTTCGACTCGTGTGACCAGCCCCTTGCATTGATGATAAGGCTCCCTTGCTCAAGCATGGTTTGGATGTCTTGCGATGTGTAGTGTTGGGAGGGAGATCTGGTGCACGAAGCAATGTGGCAACGAGTGGACAAGACTCTCTTCAGTCACTGCCTGGTTGAATGTTGGGTGTAAGATGGACGAGTGACAACCAACCTTGTGAGTCCGTGTAGGCTTATCTTTATCATCGTCATGGTGCAAACGATGCAGAAGGTCCGGTCGACTCCGGCACTACCTTGTCGTGGACATCGCCATTTTCATAGATTTCTACGGACTCTGGATTCTGACGGCAGGCAATCTCTCGCCACTGTCTGTGCTACGATGCGGTCGAGGCCGATTTTGCAGGTTTCCGATTGCTGCACCCACACCTTAGGTGTGTCTGTGCAACAGCTCGCGCAGAAACAGTCGAATCCTAGCTGACTGTGTGGTGAGTCGCAACCATAGCAGCAGCCCCGGTCTCTGCTCGTCTTGAAGTCCAAACCATCAACTTTCTTCTCGGCGGCTTGTCTGTCAAAACAGAGCGAGACCGGCACTTAATGCCCGAGCCAGTGGGAAGTCATCAGGATGGTCCTCCCGAGCCGCTCCGAGTGCGCGTCTTCCGGGCTCTGGCAGTGTCGGCCGCGGTGCTCTGGCCACTCGTGGCAGGCGTACAAGTTTCGTGAAACAGCCGGGTATCGTGGACCTGTTGGATGTCTAGCTTGACGAGGTGTGATGCTGTTGCAAAGCAAAACCTGCAGCAAAGCCCTGACGACGGCGGTTGCAGTGCCGCTTGACTGCCGGACATTCGCAAGTCAATTTGTATTTCTTTCTCCCAGTGAGCAAGGATCATTGGATACTACGTGATCCTTGTCGCTGCCTTGGCTTCACGTCCCCGCGCCCACAAACTTATCGGCTTGGTATCTGAGGTCATCGTGGTGCTGGTGCTCCCAGCAGTGGCCCTCGGGGTGGCTTGCAAAATCTGCTACCAAGAAGCTGGTTCTGTGAGATGAGCTATGCGAGTAGCAGCAGTCAGCAGCAGTAGCCGTAGCAGAGCAGGACTAGGAGTAGGACTAGGAGTACTGGAGCAGTGCAGTAGCGGTGGAGTAGTAGTAGTCGTCGTTGCAGTAGCAGTAGCAGTAGTAGTAGTAGTGATTAGTAGTAGTAGTAGTAGTAGTAGGAGGAGGAGGAGGAGGAGGAGTAGCAGCAGCAGCAGCAGCAGCAGCAGCAGCAGCAGCAAGCAGTAGAAGTAGAAGTAGAAGTAGAAGTAGAAGTAGAAGTAGAAGTAGAAGTAGTAGTAGTAGTACTAGTAGTAGTCGTCGTAGTAGTCGT